ATCAGAAGAGAGAGGGGAGGACTACATCAAAGGAAAACTCTACCAAGAGGACATTTTAATTATAAACGTTTGTGCACCAACCACAGGGGCAAACCAAAATAATAAAGGAAACCCTGTTACATATAAAAATCACATACTGACAGTCACACAGTGATAGTGGGAAATTTCAATGCTGCTCTCTCTACAATAGACAGGTCTTCCAGACAAAAAATAACAGAGACATGCTGGAGCTAATTTATGTCACAAATAAAATAGACCTACCAGGTTTTTATAGACTATTTCACCCAAACACAAAAGAATACACTTTCCTTTCCACACCTTATGGAATTTTTTTTTTAAACTGACCACAAATTTGGACACAAAGTAAGACTCAAAAGATACAAGAAAATTGAAATAACATCCTGCATCCTATCTAAGCACCATGAGTTAAAGTTGGACATCAACAATGGCAGAAAAACATAAAGCTTACAAATTCATGGAAGCTGAGCAGAAATTAAGAAACAAACAAACAAAAAATAGAATTGAAGGAAAATGAAAGTGTAACATACCCAAATTTATGGGACACAATGAAGGTGGTTCTAAGAGGCAAAATCATAGCACTAAGAGCTTATGTTAAAAACAAAACAAAATAAAACCAACCAACCAAACAAAAACCAGAGAGATCTCATATTAGTAACTTAAAACCTTAAAAATTTAGCACAAAAAGAAGAAATCTCACCCAAAAGCAATAATCATCGAAAAATAATCAAACTCAGCACTGAAATAAATAAAATAGAAATAAACAAACAACAACAAAATAATACAAAGAATCTATGAGATGAAGCATTGATTCTTTGAGAAAATCAGTAAAACTGATAAGCACTTAAACAAGTTAAAAAGAAGACAGAAAGAGAATATCCAAATTAATAAAATAGAGATGAAAATGGGGTTGGTGTACCAAAAGACACGGAGGAAATACAGAGAATCAAAATGACATACTTAAAAATCTGCATTTCTCCTTCTTCTGATGTCCATCCTCTTTGCCTTTCTGAATGGGGATTGAGCATTTTAGCCAGAGTCCTCCTTCTTGATTAGTTCCTTAAGGTGAGCAGATTTTAGTAGGTTTATCCTATATATCCACTTATGAGTGAATATATACCCTGTGTGTCTTTCTGCTTCTGGGACACCTCACTCGGGATGATCTTTTCCAGTTCCCACCATTTACCTGCAAATTGCATGATTCCCTTGTTTTTATTGCTGAGTAATTTTCCATTGTGTAGATGTACCACAATTTCTGTATCCATTCCTCAGTGAAGGGGCATCTGGGTTGTTTCCAGCTTCTGGCTATTACAAATAAAGGTGCTACAAACATGGCTGAGCAAATAGGGAACAAGTCAGGAGCCTGCCACAGAGGGCCTCTGAAAGGCTGTACCCTGCAGGGTATCAAAACAGATGCTGAGACTTATGGCCAACTTTTGGGCAGAGTTCAGGGAATCTTATGAAAGAAGTAGGAAATAGTAAGATCTGGAGAGGATAAGAGCTCTACGAAGAGAGCAAAAGAACCAAAAAATCTGGGCACAGGGGTCTTTTCTGAGACTGATACTCCAATCAAGGACCATGCATGGAGATAACATAGAACCCCTGCACAGATGTAGCCCATGGCAGTTCAGTGTCCAAGTGGGTTCCATAGTAATGGGAACAGGGAATGCTTCTGACACGAACTGATTGTCCTGCTCTTTGATTGCCTCCCCCTGAAGGGGGAGCAGCCTTACCAGGGCACAGAGGAAGACAATGCAGCCACTCCTGATGAGACCTAATAGACTAGGATCAGAAGGAAGAAAAGGAAGACCTCCCTTATCAGTGGACTTGGGGAGGGGTATGCATGAAGAAGGGGGATGGAGGGAGCTACAGGGGGATACAAACAAAGTGAATGAGGTGCAATTAATAAAAATTTAAAAAGTAAAAATAAAAAACCTGCATTTCACCAAATTAAAAAACCTAAAAAGAATAAATTTCCTTATATATACCACCCACTGGAGTAAAATCAAGACAAGGTAAGCAATTTAAACAAACCTATAACCCCTAGTGAAATAGAAGCAGTAATTAAAAGTCTCCCAACCATAAAAAACCCCTGTGCCAGATGGATTTAGTACAAAATTTAATAGATTTTTAAAGAAGAATTAATGCTAATATTTTATAAATTTCTTCTGCACAATAAAAACAGAAGAAACATTGCCCAATTCTTTTTACAAGGCCACAATTACACTAGCACCTAAATCACACAAAGAACCAATAAAAAAAAAAGAGAATTACAGACTAATTTCCCTTATGAATGTAGATGCAAAATTTCAACAAATAATTTGCAAAATGAATACAAGAACACATAAAAAAAGAGCATTCACTATGATCAAGTAGGATTCATCCCATAGATGCAGGGATATTCAACCACCCATAAGGTGATCACTGTAATCTATCATATAAACAGACTGGAAGAAGAAGAAGAGGAAGAAGAAGAAGAAGAAGAAGAAGAAGAAGAAGAAGAAGAAGAAGA